TACCACCGTGTCAAATCTGGAGCTCCTGTGACCTTTTGACCCCTGCTTTCCAGACATCCGTCCTGCAACCTATTTAACGTAGGCTGTTCGTGGACAAGCGAGCCAATTAAGCACGAAAATGGGTCGACGGGACACGAGGCTCTAGACACGGCCCCAGGGGGCCCTGACGAGGCGTGGATGACAATTTCGGGCAAAACAGACCTTTTGGTCCACTGTCCACGAACCACCTATTAAAACGCATGCAATAAGTTGCACGTGTCTTCGGCTACTGTTCGGCCCCCGGGGGTCCGAGGGGCCCCAAACTTCGCATCCTGGCAGCCTAGGGGCCCCATTGCCACATACTAGGAGGACGAGTCCCTAGAGCGCCTTTGTCAAAATCTCTCACAAAGGCCTCTTGCGCTCATAGACAGAAAGACCCTCTCCAAAGGGCACGTTGAAAAGATAGGGAAACAGACTCGGGGCCCACCTAGGACCCTGATATCCAGGATCCTGACCAAGGGGCCCCTGGACTACCACCGTGTCAAATCTGGAGCCCCTGCGACCTTTTGACCCCTGCTGTCCAGACATCCGTCCTGCAACCTTTAAAATGTAGGCTGTTTGTGGACAAGTGGGCCAATTAAGCACGAAAACGGGTCGAAGGGACATGAGGCTCTATACACGGCCCCAGGGTCCCCTAACGAGGCGTGGATGACAATTTCGGGCCAAACGGACCTTTTGGTCCACTGCCCACAGACAGCCTACAGAGGCCCTGTCAAATAAGTTACAGGTGGGATGCTGTTTTCGACTTAGATTTTTGGAGCGTGTGAATTTTCAGGAACCTATAGTTGCATTCTCTGGAACCTATAGTTGCATTCTCAGGAACTTATAGTTGCATTCTCAGAATCTTGTAATCTATAAGGTGAAACCTACTGTACCAGTCCCACTAAGTCCCATCTTTGACCAGGCATAACTCAGGAACCAAGCCAACTTTGGGCTCCATACTCTGGGGTCATGGGGGGCCCAAGGGTGCCTCCCCATGCCCGGAGTTTGGAGCTCCAACTCGGCTTGGTCCCCGAGAAACACCCGGTCAAAGTCCCATCTTTGACCAGTCATAACTCAGGCTCGAAGTCTAGTAGTTCTTGTGTTTCTCTTTTTTTCGTTCTTGTTGTTTCTCTTTCCTTCAATGATTCTGCTTATTAACATCAGGTGTCACCACTAATGACCAATCATCACTTAATTAATCACTTAATTATCTCATTAACTTCAACACTGCTTCAGTGTTCATTTTTAACACCCTGTAGTTGGACCTATATGTACACCGAGAGTGTTAATTTAACACTGGGAATTTTGCTGTGTGCGTCCGTGTATTCGGGTTCAAATAAATATGGCTGGGCAAAAAAATGCAAGTCTTCCTCTGTGTGGAAATCCTTAGACATGTTTGCGAAGATTGTTTTGTTTCCAGCGTGCGTCTCCCTCAGACTGTAAACGAAGCTCGGGCGCACCAGGGGCCTATACCATGAAGCCGGTTTAGGTGGCTAGCCAGCTATGTTTCAGCTTAGTTTCCGCCAACCCTGGGTTTTAGGTACTATGAAAGTAGCTCGGCTTTAATCGGTGTTCGTTGCCATGGTACCTTACGCTGCACGGCTAACCTGCTCCGGGGCAGGTTAAGTTCTGGATTCGAGATCTCAGACTGAAGTTTGACCAATCAGCTGTGAGCAAAGAAACATGTAGGTGACGTAACTAATTCCCAGTGTTTGTTGCAATGGCTTTACATTTTCTTTCAAATCCTGTGGACATCTCAGCGCAAATTGTTAGACGAGCACATCGTAGAAAATGAGTTTTTAGCCGGACAAAATCCCCTTGCCTTTCCTGTTACTTGTATGAAAGATACAGATTTTCTGCGGAAGGAATATCTTATCTTTGCGAACTTCTTGAGCCGCACATAAATAATTTAACACATCGAATTCATGCACTTACTGTACCATAAATGGTATTGCGTTGCGTTTTTTTGCAAGTGGTAGCCTACATACTTGCACGATCGGTGATGCACAGAATCTAGGGGAAAACACGGTTTGTCGAACCATTTCCAAGGTGGTCCTCGCTCTGCAATAGTACATTAATATTTAATGGTGTTCCCCAGACATTTATTGACCATGTCCATAAGAGAGGGTTTTTATAAAATTGCCGGTAAAATATTTTGATAGGGTGACATCACGTTTGTTTGTTTTTTCAAAAAGCAAATTTCACAAATGTACTATATAATACAGTACATGTTAAGCATTATTTTAATCTTATGATAGCATTCCCTATAGAGTCATTGGAGCAATAGCCTGCACACATGTTGCAATCTCCACTTCTCTAGGAGAACATGAGGCAGATTATGTTAATAGAAAGTCTTTTCACAGCCTTAATGTTCAGGTAGAGATTATGTGAACATGTGAAATTATTATTTTCTGTGAGATAAATCTTTAAATTAATAGTAAAATTAACAGATAACAATCTACTTTCCGTGAGTATGTTGTGTCAGTGCTTTGAGGAAAGCTAGTTAAATTTGGTACAGTACAAAACACTGTTCATTTGAATTGGGACAGCAAAACCTACACAATAACCCCCTATCATGACCCTCATGTGTCAGTAAAACCATAGTAAAAGTTAGAGATGATCTTTGGCATCCTAAAGGCACGTTTCAACTGTCTTCGGCGCTTAAGAGTCACCAGAGTGGGCATCACAGATAGTGTCTGCATGTGCCATTCTGCACAATATAGCCACCATAAAGGAGCCAGAACCACCACAGAAAGCTTCTCCCCGATGAAACTGACCCGAACACACTTGAAAACCCAGCTGGTGCAAATGTAGTTGCAATCACCATACAATATTACACTTAATAAAAGCACATTGAAACTGCAGATAGGTCTCAAACTGTTTTATTGGTTTTGTGGGATGGGGGGGGGAGAAAGAAAGCAATAGAAAGTTGCATTAATAAATATTCATGCTAAAGTGTTACTTGGTTAAATAAGTTCACATGCTGAGATCAGTTTAATCTAGTGCTGTGTTGAAAAAATCGATTCACCAATTCAGAATCGATTTTCATTATAATTTCTTAAGATCGATCCGTAACTCAGAGGATCGATTTTTTTTTTTTTTTTTTTTTTTTTTACGCATGCGCGCGAGGTGGAAGGACATTAAAACAACGAACATGGCGGTTGCTTTGAAAACTCCAGAAACGCTCAAAGCTGCAATCTGGCACCATTTCGGGTTCAGAACAAGCGATACAGAGAACGAGCTTGACAAAAGCAAAGCAATTTGCAAAGCCTGCCAAATGGAGGTGAAGTATTGTGGAAATACTACTAATCTCAGGAACCACATGATGCGACATCATCAAGACATCATATTATCCAAGCCTGTCACCGGACCGCAACAGATGACACTGAAACAAACTCTACAACTGCCAACTAATTCTGCACGCTCTGTCAAAATAACTGAGGCGATTGCGGGCTTCATTTGCAAAGATATGCGCCGGTATTCTGTTGTTGAGAATGTGGGATTCAGGCGGCTAATGAAGGTAATGGAACCAAAATATGTCATTGTTTCTCGCAAACGTCTGTCTGAAGAAGTGATCCCCAACATGTACCAGACAGTAAAAGATGGTGTAATGTGTAAGCTTAAGACCGCAGAGAGGGTGGGCATTACGAGTGACACCTGGACATCTGTAGCTACGGAATCTTACATGAGTGTGACAGCACACTACATAGACGAGCTCTGGAACCTCGTGTCTTACGTGCTGCAGACAACCGAAGTTGAAACGAACCATCGCTCTGTCGGTTTAGCTGAAATGTTAACCAAAGCTATGGAGGAGTGGGGGCTGATGAGTAAAGACCCAGCCATAGTCACTGACAACGCGGCGAATATGGTCCGTGCGGTTGAGATTACGGGGCTAACCCACGTCGGCTGCTTCGCGCACATAATCAACCTGGCCTCGCAAGCCGGTCTCAAACTGCCGAATGTTGCACGACTTCTTGGGAGAGTAAGGCACATCGCAAAGTTCTTTCATCGCAGTACAACTGCCACCCGTATCCTCAAAGAAAAGCAGAAGCTACTGCAGCTAAATGCACACAAGCTCAAAATTGATGTGGTGACTCGTTGGAACAGTGCACTAGAAATGCTTGAGCGCTTTTTAGAGCAGCAACCCGCGATCTCTGCCGCTCTGCTCTCACCTGATGTGCGGAGAAATGAAAAGGATCTTTGCAGCCTAAAGGAAGAGGACATAACAGATGCAGAAGATGTGGTTAGAGCTCTAAAGCCAATGAAGACAGCCACTCAAGTAATGTCAGAAGAAAAGTGCCCAACTCTCTCAGTGATACCACCTCTGCATGCTCTGCTGCTGAAAGAGATGACCAGTCTCCCAGAAGACTCCAGAGTTGTTAAGGACATGAAGGATGAGATCAAGAAAAACTTAAGCACAAGGTAGGCCTGTGTGTGTGAGTGATTGAGTGTCTGTCTGTCTGTCTGTCTGTCTGCCTGTCTGTGTGTGTGTGTGTGTGTGTGTGTGTGTGTGTGTGTGTGTGTGTGTGTGTGCGCGTTGGTGCGACCGGATTATGAGGACAAAAACCATGGATACATACCGACTCTATGAGGACATGCCGTAACTACGAGGACAGCACTACTGTCCTCATAAGTCGAGCAGTGTAGAAAGGCATTTCACGCTGCGCCTAACCACCTCCCGCTTTTTCTCAATATGTCCTTATAAATCCGTTGTACCCGTTTTTCAGTGTGTGACAGTGTATGCTCAGAGTCGCTCAGAGTGTATAATCTCCCTCTATGTGAAATTCGACGCTACTGCAGTATCATACACATTTCATACACCCAGACCACGCCCAAGCGCGATTCATTGGTGGAACGCTGGAATCCTCGTCAGTGATTGGCTGCTGGAATCCTCGTCAGTGATTGGCTGCATTTCACATCCGTCAAAGTCAGCGCGCCTGCGCCTCTGATCTTCTATCGCAGACGTGTGGTGTGACGGTGTGATTAATCAGAAGATTAATCATCATCATGAAAGATTAATTAGCAGAATTCGAGCGAAGTTGACGAGCTATAGTGGGAGATTTTCACTTTATCACGAGGAAGGTAAGTGCGTTTATTTATATATTCTACCTTTATGGAGTTAAGTGTCGTGAGTCAGACAGTTTTTAATAACGTTAGCATTACTTTAAACGTGGCCACTAAACGTGGCTAATATAAGTCCATAAGCAGTTGGATACTAGTATTAGTATTAGTTGATGAAAGATACATCTCCATGGATGCTTGAGAGAATTAATTTACATTTTGAAATAAATCAAATCTATGTTGTCATCATGATGACTGGTAAAGTTGAGTGGATGAATTTACAGTTTAATACAGTAAGATACAGAAATATATTAAATAAACAGAAACGAGACTAATGTAAAAGTATACTTTCATTAATGTAACGTTACTGTCATTAGAATGACTTGCCAAAATTATCTGGTTGATTCATTTTAGGGCTGGATATTAGCAGACATTTTATGATTCCATTCAATTTTAATTCACGTGCTTTCGATTCTATTTCCTATTCGATTTTACATTTATTATTTTAATGTAAATCAGGTGTAATACATGTAACATTTTCTAAAACTTTCTCTCTATAGTTAATTTTTCTAAGTAACGAGTTTAGCTTCATTTGATCTGAGGCGCCACATTAAAGAGTGATAAAATGGACTGAATTTGAAATCGGAGACTGTTTCTTATCAAAAGTAACAAGCCTCAAAACCTCACTGATCAACTATTTCTGTGTAAAATGTTGTATTTATTGATATAGACTAAAGTCTGACAATAATGTACTGTATATTAAGCATATCTATCTATCTATCTATCTATCTATCTATCTATCTATCTATCTATCTATTTATATTTATATATTTATAAATACATACTAATTATGTTGTCTGGAATGTTTTCAGTCAACATGTTAAGAAAGAAGAGAATAAAACCTGAGCAGGATGCAAAAGAACACATATTGTCGGGCAAAGACAAAGCCTTCATTGAGGGACGACAAATCAACACATTCAAAGGTAAATTGTGCACCACAAGGCAATTTGACTATGTTCAGACTGCAGGCAAATCAAATCATAAAGTAGGCATGCACTTGTAAGAATGAAAAGTAGGCCTATTGCTGGCAGTCTGGACATGATCTTTCACATTCACACATTTTACCCTTGGGTAAGCCGCTCATTTTCATAAAGGTTAAGAGATGAAAAAAAAACTTTAAACAATTTTTTTATAATTATTATTTTAAAATAAATACATAAAACTATGTATACGGAGAATAGTGTAACCAAATTCAACTAGTAGGCTATATCACAGTGAAAACCAATGCTTGATTATTTTTTTTATTTTTTTTATTTCCTGCACCTCATATTACATTACACAGTTTTACAGGATTTAACTCTTTAAAAGGATAGGTTGGTTAGCTGTGTAACATATAGGTGCACTTGGATTCATGTTTTATTTGTATTATTATATATTATTTTGCCCTTTCAGGGAGAGGTGTGTTTGCACTTGAGCACATTGAACCATCCACCTTTGTTGTTGAATACCGTGGGATTCTCTCTCAAAGTAAACATGTTAAAGATGTTCAAGGCAACTACTTGTTTGACTTCACATGGAATGGAACACGTTATTGGTAAGCTGGCTGTTTCTTTTTTGGTTTATTTATTTTTGGTTCATATTCAGAGCAAACTAGTTGCATGTCATTCTAATAAAAACAGTTATGATTATGATTTATTATTATTACTATTATTATTACAATATAGGGCTGCACGATTTGGGGAAAATGTCATTGTGATTATTGAGGTCAATATTGCAATTGGAATATGCGATTGCGATATAATAAACAAATGGTTTCATGAGTCAACTTGCTTGGTTCTAAAGCAAAATGCACACACAGATTAGTGATAATTCTGAAATGTGTATTTCTCAACTCAAACTAGCAACAACAACTAAATGATTGATAACATCTAAGCCATTGATGTCTGGATAAAAATTAATCCACCCCCATTTAAAACATTAATTATAGCCATCCGACATTACAGTGATTCCATCATTACAATTGAAAGCTATAATTTAAAAAAAAAACATTTATTAGACGTCAAAAAATATAACAGCTTTTAATTTAAGTGAACTTCAAATAATCCTCACATAAACCCATTATAAATGACATGTCATATTTACCTGTGCCCTTCCTGTCTAACAGGTATGCAGAAATTTAATAAAGTTATCAAACAGCAAGTATGCAGACTCTGCGCTGCATAAATAATAAATAGACTAATCCTTATTAAAGCTACATAAGTTCTTTAGTCAAGAGCAGTGAGTAATTTTCTCTGTCCCCTTTGTTCTGTGATTAACTTTACTGACAGAAAGCTTTGGCTGCTGGCCCTTTAAGAGCAGCCGCTGCTGACAGAGACGCGGATCTCACATGCGCCTCATCCTCTCACAACTCTATACGTCCATCATAAGAAGTTATGAAGATACTCGACAAACGACATTTTGGCATAATTGTGTGTGTTGTTGTTCGTTCAAGAGCGAAAGAGAACTGTATTCTGGCGCGTGTCTTTCTGTGAGTCACAGTCGGACATTCAGCGCGCTCTCTTTTGACTTGTCTCGCATGAATGGTTTTAAGCAATCGCATGAGAGCATTATCATGTAACACTAGCCAAAGGATGACAAAAAATAACAGATGCTGCGTTAATTGCGTTAACAGCCCATTGTTTATTTTACATAAAATTGCAGCATTTTGCGCCATATAATCGCACAGGCTTGACATCGCGATTACGATTGCGATAAGATTAATCGTGCCGCACTATTACAATAGCAGATTTGCTAGGGTTTTCATAACATTAGGAACTTATTAGTTAGTGATAATCAATAACATGGTTATTGTTCAACTGGGGTATTATTTTTTTTACCTTAAGTGGATCATCTGACCTATTAAATTCTTAGGAAGTCAAGTTAACTTTCACAATGTGTATTTGAATATAGGTTAAATAGGCCAAGGTGAGCCTAACCCAAATGTTCAGTTAGAACCGTATGTTTCAGTGTGTGTCTATGTTTTAAGTTTCTTACTGCACTATTTTTATCACAGCATAGATGCAACAAAAGAGGACGGTGGAGGAATGATGATGACAAAAATCCAAATTGCAAAGTCAAGACAATCATTGTTGACGGAAGGCCACACCTGTGTCTGTTTAGTATAAGACATATCTTTCCAGATGAGGAGGTCACATACAACTATGGGGATTCCTCTTGGCCTTCGCGTTTAAGGGTGAGTCTCTTAAAGACTTTATCACTGAAAGTCAACCATGTTCTGTATTTCATGAATGTTAGTTTTTTATATGATGCAGATTATTTTAAAAAATTCTGCACGTCTGCTTTGTGCATGACGGAGCCATGAAAGGGACACTAGATATTTAGTCTTTGGTTGATACTAGAATTAGTTGCGGTGACCAATTGGCAAACATCCTTGCCTCAGTGTTGTACCTGTCTTTCTCATAATTACAGGAATTGTGTGACGAGACATCAGTGGCTGTGACTGAATGCAGTGTGAATCCTTCCTCATCAGTGAAACAGAAAGTAAGTGAGCGCATGTTCCTTCATTGTTTTCTTCTCTTTGACACAGGCAATGTTAAGTGTAGGATGGTTGGGCATCATGCTAGGCTGGTTGACGTGGACTGTCGTCTTAAAGACGCTGTTGTGACGTCTCAAATTGGAGTAAAATGTACATTGCTCGGTTCATTCATTTTCATAACTCGTGCGTTGGGGGATGGGCATGACACTGACCTGAAATATAAGGACAGTTCTCCACTACGAGGACCATCATGTCAGGGTTAGGGTTTGTGGAAAAGATGTTGCTTTGGGTACAGTTGGTACTCAACAAGAATAATACTTTTACTGCCGCGGGGGTAAAATTCGGATGTGTATTTGCTGCCTTTTACCGCTAAGAGGCGCTACAATCAAGGTGTCAGTTTATTCTCTCTATTGCGTAATCTACCGCCGCGCCGCGACTCATTCAGAGCGATTGAAAGCTTGTAAAAGATGAATTCAAGTGAAACATTGTAGTTAAACGAATTCATAATCACAATACTGAAATTAAATTGAATAAATAGTGAAAACATTACAACATAAAACATTGCAACAGAAATATATTAGGCTATCAATGAGGGTCTGGAAGAGCATAAGACGTAATTTAATAGCGTTCAGGCGGTAGCTCAGTGGTTAACGCAACAACATGAGCCTCACGGAGCTTCAAGCGATCCGAGATCCAATCTCAATGTAGCCAACTCATCTCAATGTTGGCCGACTTCATTTATGTTTTACCGTTCTTGATGCTTAAATAGGTAACTGTTTATTAGCGAGTTCATTAACTGTTTATTTATTTAATGTCAAGCGTTTTGTTTAATTATCAATGCCACATTAACGTAAATTTGCTACATTCCATGTCCGCTGCACGACAAAGCTGATGAGGGAAATGAAAATAAATAAAAAAAGAAAGCTGATCGCGTCAGAAAATGAAAATAATGAAGCTTGTCTTTAATCTGCTAAATTATTGTTTTGTGAATCATTCACGAAATTGAGTTGACTGACAGTGAGTGATACCTGGCCATAGCAACGGGAGAAATTTTTCAAAACAGATCCATACATTGAACAAATCAGAAAAGACTGATTTTGTTGACTTGACAGACTAACTAAATAGTATTACTTTCAATATAAAAACAAATGAAAATGTAAAAGAACACTACAATTAATTAAGTTTGAAACCCATCGCAAATTTTGAAGAATGTAAGAAACACAGAATCTTATTCTTGCAACATTTTAAATTTGTATTGCCAAAGGAATTTCAGCTAAATTAAACAATTAAAACAGTACAAAACGAAAATAGTCCAAAGCCACATAAATTAAGAACATGCGTTTTTCTTTGCCTGTCTCTCGTGCTGGATCTCTTTTTAGCAAGTTTATTTTGTCTCCCTCCCTCCCTCCAAAAAAAAAAAACTGTAACAAATTATTAAGCCTTTGTTGCTTCAAAGACACAGCATGCCTTGTTGAATTCACCTTACAATAAAACGAGGTTGAATTAAAGAGCTCTGTATCTGCTGTGGCATGAATGTGTTTAGTCAACAGTTAATGTTTAGATAATGCCAGATTGTTGACAATCATACACAGTGCTCATTCTAAAACTCTAAAACTCTACAAAACCAGTTGAAACAACTGGATTGAACACTTTAATTGAAATTTTGTGTGAAAACTTTAAATACAAAAAATAAACTACAATATTTAATAAGATATAGGGCCTACATTTGGACACACCGAGAGATTTATAAGAATTTAGCCTTTGCCTGCAGGCTGGCTATCCGACATCTCCATATGAAAGAGGAACATTAACACCTATTGTGCCGATAAAGCCACTGTCCCTCCAACCCCCCCACAGGCTCTCTGAGTCTGAGACTGACTTACAACAAAAAGAAGTCGCAATTCACACTTAAACCGCTATTCTAGCATTAGACTATTAAAGTGTTGATAATGAAGGAATTAAATAATGTAAGCTACATGTAGTGATATTTCTGTCATGAAACTTTATTACTAAATATTTCATTTCAATAATTCATTCAATTTCAATAAGTTGTTCTTTTTTATTCAAATAAACCTCGAACCACAGTGCTCCGTTGTGCTGCTGTTAAACTAAATAACATTTATAGAATAATTATGAACTTAAATGAAACAATATAGCAACATTTCTACAAAAATTATTTGATCTGCTTTTACATTTTAATTCAGGGCGATTTAGCCTACATTTAATTAGAGCGAGATTTTCCCCCTTGCCTTGTCCTTTCCTCGTTGGGAAGCGCTCACATCATAGCTAAACATGTTTGAGTAGATCCTCTGTACCTCTCAGTTTCAGATGGATTACATAATCAGATAACATTTATTAAATATTTAGACATTTAAAGGCTTTAGACATAGCCGATTTCTTATCGTGACTGAGCTGAGGCAAGTGGTTTTCGGTTCATTTTTGTGACGCGCAGTTCTCGGAGACAGAGACGAGACGACAGCTAAAATGTTGTTAGCCTAATATGAATAGAAGTTTACAGTTTTGAACGATGTAGGCAAAAAATACGGAGTAGCCTATTAAGTTATTTTAGCTGTTATGAGAAAAATAAATCCAAATGAACGCGCCGCCGTGTTTGTCGAACTCTAATTCAACATGCCAGAATAAAACCCGACTTTAGAACAATAGCGACACTCGGCGTGGTGTGCCAAAACACTTAATTATAAACTTCAATATTTCATTCAAAATAATCTCAAAACGCTTTGTGACCTTTTGAAAAGCCGTGCATGCATTAAGGCCACTGGAACTAATGAACAACTGAAACGCTGGTTTTGATTTTATTGTTTGTCGTTTAAACGTGCCTGTTGCATATCTCTATTTTATATATTGTATATGGTATATTGGTGAAGTAGCCTATAGCCTATAGGGAATCCCAAAAATGTATATAGGCTATAGCTATTTATAAATTACGATTGGTATTATTATACAGATGTAAAGTCATTCTGTTGGATACTATTTGTTCCAGTGTAAAATGGAAATGATTGGCAATTTTATTTTATAAATATAAGCAAAAACTATATGGTGTAACAGAGTTTTAGAACTAGACAAATCTCTCTGCATTAATAATCGGATATAAAATGCATTAATAGGCTAATATAAAATTTACAAAAGTCTCAAGTTTGTTCGGGATTTGAACCCGTGTCATCTAAATGATCGAACCGTAAGTTCTTCCACTCGGCCATGATTTTACTCTTTGTGAAATGACCAAACGTTTGTTTCTCCAGTGTGTTCGTTCACATGAGCGAGAAAACGTTTTATCGTTAGCATATTGTAGACCTTTTACAGTTTAAAAAAAGATGATATCTTATCTGTATGACCAAAAATTACGGAGTAGGCTAGCCTTTTAAGTTCTTTTAGCTGTAATGAGAAAAAAATGTATTCAAGTGAAAGTGCCGCCGCGTTTGTCGAACTCTAGTTCAACATGCCAGAATAAAACCCAATTTTAGAACAATGCGTAGCGCCACTCGGTGTGCCAAAACACTTAATTATAAACATCAATATTTCGTTCAAAAACATCTCAAAACGCTTTGTGACATTCTGAAAAGCCGTGAATGTATTAAGGCCACTGGAACCAGGATCATAGCTGAAACGCGCTGCATGTTATCTCTCAATACAGGAGCAGAAGCGCCAGTTCAGATTGTATCGTTTGTTGTTTAAACGTGCGTGTTGCATATTTTTAAAAATATATAATATATTTGATATGGTCTATTGGTGAATTAGGCTATAGCATTGATTACTGTGGAGGGGGGAAATCCCCCACCAGCAAATCGCACCTTGTTACACAACCATGTTTTTAAAAACTCTTTCTGTAGCCTATATGGAACCCCATGAAGTTTTTTTTTCTAGTTTTTTTTTAACATAACTGCTTTTGAAATTGCGATTGGAATTATTATACAGATTGATATAAATTAAGTCAATCTGTTGGATAATATTTGTTCCTTTGTGTAAAATGGAATCGGTTCATTCATTTTCATAACTCGTGCGTTGGGGGATGGGCATGACACTGACCTGAAATATAAGGACAGTTCTCCACTACGAGGACCATCATGTCAGGGTTAGGGTTTGTGGAAAAGATGTTGCTTTGGGTATGTGTCGGCTGCTTCTTTATTGTGGGTAAGCTGTAGACCCAATATGCACACTTTTCAATCTGGATATGCTTTGTGACTTTCAGTCATAGAGACGTAAACTGTTAAGGCCCATTCACACCAACCATAACTGTGTTAGGGTCCAACCAGCAGACGGTAACGCTCTGTTTATTGTGATCGCATCTTTGACTGCCGCTTATATACTGAAGCATGTTATAGCAGAATTGATTCCGATTGGCTGTCAATTAAGCAATGTATCGCAATACAAAAATGCAACAATATATATTGTGGATAGTGACAATGTGTATTGTGGACAGTACACCCAAAATAAAAATTTCTGTGTGAGGGGAAACAATCAAGTTTACAGAGTTTAATTAGGCATTTTAATCAACAGTTAAAAAAAAGTTACCCTTTTACCAC